GGGGGAGGGGGAGGGGAGGAGGGGAGGGGAGGGAGGTGTCTGCGCGCCGAGGCAGCTCCGTGCCGCTTGGAGAGCTTGGAGCGGTCCTCGCCTAATCACTCCACGTGACTGGTGAGCTCGCAGCTGGCCGCCCGGGAGAGCTCGGGCCGGCCCCTCGCCGAGGACGAGGGAGAGGTGGGCGAAACGCGGCAGCGGGAAGCCGAGCGCCTCGAGGATGAGGACCTGGCGAACCTGCTCGGGGGAGCGAGGGTGGGGAGAGGGTGGGGAGAGGGTGGGGAGAGGGTGGGGAGAGGGTGGGGAGAGGGTGGGGAGAGGGTGGGGAGAGGGTGGGAGAGGGTGGGGAGGAGCAACCGGGGCGGCACCGTGTTTGTCAGGTGCTCCTCGGCTCTATCTCGACTCGATCTCGACTGCATCTCGGCTGCATCTCGGCTGCATCTCGGCTGCATCTCGCACCGTGTTTGTCAGGTGCTCCTCGGCTCGGATGACAGTCGAGACCTTCATGTCGGCGTCGTCGACGGCGACGCAAAAGTTGTACACCGGCATCCCCCCGCTGCGCAGCAGGATGAAGTCTCCCACCGTCGCCTGCACGTCCCACTCCACCCGGCCGCGCACCGCGTCCTCGATCCCGACCACCTTCCCGTCTGGGACGCGGAAGCGGACGGTGTACGGCTCGCCCGCGTCGAGCCGGCGCTGCACCTCGGCCGGGTCCGCGTCGCGCCACGTCCCATCGTACTGCGGGTTCTCGCCCGCCGCCTCCGCTGCCGCCCGCTTCGCATCGAGCTCCTCCGGCGTGCAAAAGCAGCGGTACGCGGCGCCCGAGTCGAGGAGCTTCTGCGCGAGCTCCTGGTAGAGGCCGCCCTGCATCCGCTCGGACTGGCGGTACGGCCCGTGCGGCCCGCCCGCCGTCGGGCCCTCGTCGTGCACCAGCCCCAGCCACGCGAGGTCAGCCAGCACCTCGTCCTCTGACTCGCGCGTCGAGCGGGCGGTGTCCGTGTCCTCGACGCGGAGGAGGAACTGGCCGCCATTCTGCCGCGCCCACAGCCACGAATAGAGCGCGGTCCTCGCGCCGCCGACGTGCAGCGACCCCGTCGGAGACGGCGCGAAGCGCGTGCGTGCACCCGGCTCCGAGCCGGCTGCGGCGCACATGCGAGAGCCGCGTCCGCGCGCGAGGCCGCGGACGGCGGCGGCCGCCGGGCCGCGCGGCAGCGCACCGCGCGCGACGCCGTACCCGAGCGTCGAGAGTAGCGTCACCATCCACATCGGACAGCGGCGAAGGGAGAGGCGCAGCTGGAGAGGCGGCGAGGTGCTTATTGCGCTTTGCGCAAAACGAGAAACGCGCCAATACCCTACCTCACCTCACCCCACCCTACCACCACTTACCTCACCGGCGGCCAAGGAGTCTATCTCCCCCATATCTCCCATCTCTCCCCATATCTCGACTGCAGGGTGCAGGCGGCCAAGGAGTCGACGCGAGGCCGGCTCCGCGAGAAGATAGGCACGATGAAGTGTTCTTGAAGAAGGGCACCTTCGCAGGCGATGACCATCTCGCTCGAGTCATACCTCCCCCATATCTCCCCTATATCTCCCCATATCTCCCCATATCTCGTCGCAGGCGATGAACATCTCGCTCGAGGGGCGAGGCCTCGACCGGCTGTAGCCGCTCGGCCAAGCCCCCCCCCCCCCCCTCCCATGCTCCGCCTCGGGGTCCTCCTCGCCCCACGATCCGCGCAGCGAGAGGCCACGCCAGTCACCAGTCATGTCCCCGTTCTCTCTTCTCTATGCTCTCGCTGCGAGCTGGCCGACTGTGCGGCAGCTCTGCAGCTCTCCCTGCGCGAGCCTCAGCCTGCCCCCTGCGGCTGCGCGAGCCGCGACGCAGCACGCCCAGACGGAGACGCACACCTGGGTCACCTCTCAGGCGGCTCCCCACGTCTGGGGGGGCGACCCCCCCATCTTTGTTTACCGAATGCGTCTCTGGATTAGAGTGCGTCTAGTAGGCCTCCTACTTAGACGCTCGCTGTCCTCGGTATGCTCGAGCATCCTAAGATGCGCGAGTCTATATTAGTTGCTCCGCGCATCCCGAATTGCTCGCGGCATCTCCGATTGGCGTTGCTGTCTCAAAAGACGCGCCGTGCATACTGTGAACAGCGCGTGTCTCAGAAGACGCGCGCATATTTTGAACAGCGTGTGGATCTCAAGAAATACACGCACGTATAAAAACAAAAAAGAAAACGAAAACGCGGTGTGGCGAGCGCTGCGCGGCGGGCCGTGCCCCCGGCTGTGCGCCGCGGCTGCTGCGCTACTACTCGCACAGCCGCGGCGCGCCCACCCGAGCACTCGTGGGTGGGCGCCCTATAGCCTCTCCGCGCAACGTGCTGGGGCACGGACAGCGGCTCTCACGTGTGGCAGCGGCAGCAGGCCCACCGCTGCACCGACTCACACTGAACAGCACGCACAGGACACAGTCACAGAACACTGCCCCTGACGCCACTCACGGCCACGGGCTACTCAGACTTGGACACAGGCACCTCGCTTAGCACTCCGTGCACGTGGCTGCCGGTTGCCGTCACCAGCGCCGCTTCCTGCCCAGATCAAACACCTGCGACGTGGCGGAGGCGATGAGCGGCCCGCGGTCGCCGTGAGAGCGCGCGTGGTGGGCGACGGCTCACCGATCGAGCGGAAGCGGTCACGCTGTGGGGGCGGCGGAAGCGGTCACGCTGTGGGGGCGGCGGCGAGGCGGGCAAGCCACCCGCAGATCCCCAGAAGGACGCCGTCGCGAGGTCGAGGGCGGGCGGCGGGGGCGGCGAGAGCGAGGCGCGAGGCGCGAGGCGGTGTTGGCGGCGGCGGTGGCGCGGGCGGCGGCGGTCACGGAGCGGGGGCGAGAGGGTGGTGGCGAGCAAGACACCCGTGCGCGCTGCGCGGTCGCCGTTCTGACTCACATGCCTGCGGACAGCGCCGACGGGTGGTGAGGAGGGCGGCGAGCCGGCGGGCACGGTGTGCGCGCGGTCGCCGCGCGCTGGTGGGCGACAGCTCACCGAGCGAGGAGCGAGGAGCAGGAGCGAGTCGGGATGCCCGGTCCCTCAAATCGCCAAGTCAAACAAGAAAAACCGCGCGGCTGGCCGACTCTCGGAAGTACGCTGTCTTCCGTGTCTAGGCGCACGCCCACGCCCTCAGCCTCGAACTGGCCCCGCTACCTGCCGCGCAAACTGGTTGGTGGGGGGGGGAGGCGGCGTCGCCGTCGGATCGTCGTAAGCAGTGCATGCAACTTTGGTCTTTGCGCCCAGAGCTCGTGGCGCGAGCAGATGCATGCGCGGTGCTGAGAACCTGGTTCTCCAGGAGGGGCAGGCCGCGAGGAGAGACCTCACACGAGCACTCAAGGCAGGGCCCCCAGGGGGTGCCGAGAGATCACACCGCCTTTTCGTGCTCCCTGGCTCCCTGCTCCCCCCTCGGTGCCCGGTGCACCCGACACACGGTGTCTCCTGAGACGCTTCCCTGTCCAAGTATAGTAAAATGTGATCTAGTATGCAAGTGCCATCTCAGAACAGCTGTGCATCTATAGATGCTTGTGGCGTCTAAGATGGAACGCGTAACAAAAGACACGGCGCGGCTATCTCCAGGACAGCCATCGCATCCTAGAATGCCCTGTGTACCCGAGACACATGGTATCTTTGAGATGAAAAGTGCGTCCTAGAATGCGTTTTTGCATTCTAGGACGCATCGGTAAACAAAGATGGGGGGGTCGCCCCCCCAGACGCCACCCTCCCCTCCCCTCGCGGGCGGCGCGGCCCTGCGGCCTGCACTCTCCGCAGCTCACGAGTCTTACAGAAACAACTCGTGTAAAATATGAACACATCCGAACACACCGATAGGATCACCCCCCTCCGAGAACTATAAATCACACCTGGCCGGACACCGTGGCGCACACCACTTGCGACTTCGTGGTGGTTGCTTGTGCTCCAGCGCGGCGTCGGAGTTGGAGCCCAGCGCGCGGCGCATCGCAGATCGCACGTCTTCGCGCGACGCGGCCGCCGCCGTCACTTCACACCAGCTGCATGGCCGGCGCCCCGGCCGTGGCCGCATCTGGCTTGCTGGCGCGCGAGCGGCGCAAGAGTCCGAAGGCCAAGAAGATGGCGGCAAAGGCGCCTATCACGGTGCACTCGCGGCTGGTACTGTTGGTGGTGCGTGGAGCCTCGGCTCGACGGTGTGTACTGGCGGCACCGGTTGCGGCGAAGACGCCGGCGTGGGTTGCGACCAGCTCGCCGGCCTCGTCCTACAGTGCGTAGGTACATTCACGCAGGGCGGGGAGGGGGGGCGGTGGAGAGGGCGCACAATCTTTCGAAGGTAGTAGCGGGATGGCTTGCACTGGCTATACCAGGCGCTGTCTGCAGTACAGACGGAGCCAGCTTCACAACAGGTGGCGCCAGTCCAGGAGTTGCCGCCGCACTGCGCCCAAGTATGCTGACAGATGGTAGGGCCGCCAGGAGCAGGGTGAGGTGTGGCCCACCAGTCGCCCGAGTGGTGGTTGCCGCCAGCGGTTCCGCAGCCACCCCAGCTGCACCCTTGCGCCTGCCAGTCGCCCGTGTGGTGGTTGCCCTCGATCTTTCCGTTCACCCCTTCAGCCTTGTATTGGCCCGTGTACTTGTTGGCGGTGTAGGAGCCCTGGTGGTTGCTCGCAGTGGTCTGGCCGGTCCATTTGTTCGTAGTGATCTTTCCGCCCTTATAGTCGGTTAGCGTAGTGGTGCCGGTCAGGTGGTTAGTGTGTGCGCAGCCCCGCCAGTCGCATCCCCCCGTTACCCACTTCTCGGTCGGCGGTGCCGCTTCTCCCGCAGCCTTCTCTGTCGGCGGTATGGGCTGCGCGGAGACCGCCGCCTCCGTCGCCTTCTCAACCAGCGGGGCGGGCTGCGTGAGCACAGTGAGGACGAGCGGGACCAGCATGACGCGCCGGGCCCAAAGCTCGGTGTGAGGGCGGGGGGGGGCTGGGGGTCGCCGTATTCGGAGCGGTTTCTTTTTCATTCGAGCCTCTCTGATGGTTGTGTAAGTTCTTTGTGTGGCATCCGAGCGCGTCATGTTGACCCCAGCCGTGGTCACCAAGAACAGCACGACTGGCTATCAGGCCGCCGAAACTTTGTTCCGCATGCTCGGGTCCACACCCGTCTTTTCTCCACCGTCAGGCCCTCGCGCCTGACTGGCCCTCGGCGGGCGGGCCCACGAGGACCCTGCCAGTAGCCTTGGGCTTAATCTTCATTGCCGCTGGTCGCCGTCTCGCTCAGAATGCGCACGACTTCCGTGAATTCGGGCCTACGGGCACGTGCACAAGCCGGTTAGCCGCACACGTCGACCTCACACCCACCTGGGGGGTGCCGCCCTCCCGTTCATGAGCCCAACAACACGAGATCCAGGAGGACTCGTACCTATTGGACATCCGGAAGGCCCTCGCCGCAGCCTCCACACCCGCCACCCCCTTACCCGCCACCCCCTTACCCGCCACTGCCCTCCGCCCCCCCGCCCCCTTTGCCGTTCCCCGCCCTCGCCGCCGCCTCCCTCTCGCCCTAGCTCTCGCCGCCACCCCCTTCGCCGCCCCCGCCCTCGCCGCAGGTGGACGGAGACGTGCTGCCCTTCATGGACGTGTGTTCGCTATTGTTAAGCGAACTGAAGCTGTAGCGGGGACGCCGTATCGTGGGGGCTGCCTCTCTCACTGTGTCTCTCACTGACTCTGTGTCTGGGCTTGGCAACTGCGAATCGTAGCATGTGTACTCTGCCTTTAAAAATCGAACCTCACTACAGAGCCAGGTTGGTGCAAAAAGAAATCGCGGCGAACTCAGCAGCACACCAGGTCATGTGTGTATATGCCCGCCTCGCGCTCCCGCGCCAACGCCGCGCGCCGCACGCCACCGCCGCCATCTGCTGACAGCGCGCCCGGCGAAGTCCCAAAGAACGTCCTGAATGCGGCTACGGACGGCCGCGTGGGACCGGTGCGACTGTGGCTGAATGACGGCGGGAAAGCCGACACTCTCGCTGATCGACCCTGTGAGGTCAGCAGCCGTCCGGTTCCATACACCCTGCTGATGCTCGCCGCACAGAACGGGCACGTGCAGATTGTCGAGCTCCTCCTGAAGCGTGGCGCACACATCAACCTGCAGAACAGTCGCGGCAACACTGCGCTCACCTCTGCCGCCAACCACGGCCGCGAGCGAATGGTGGACGTGCTGCTGCAGCACGGAGCGGAGATGAACCCACAGGACTCCGCCTGGGCGGCGCTGGCAGCGGCTGCCCAGGGCGGCAAAGAGCGGGTTCTCGATCTTCTGCTGCGGCGTGGCGCGGAGATCGACCTGCAGAACAAGATAAACGGTGGCACCGCACTGATGCACGGTGCCTGCTTCAACCGCCCCGCCGTCGTGCTCCGCTTGCTGCGGGCGGGCGCAGACATGGCGTTGCGCGATGTGTTCGGCAAGACGGCGCTGCAGTGGGCCAAGGTGAAGGGCCGCGCCGAGTGCGTCCAGGCCTTCAAGACGTACCTCGGGGAGGTGGCGGCGCGCCGGAGCAAGGCGCCGTCGGCCGAGGCAGGAGGCGCAGGCGCGGCGGTGGGTGCGAGTGCCGCGGCCTCTGCTCCGAGCGGTAAGGGCGGCGCGGAGGTCGAGCTAAACGGCGGTGCGGTGCCAGAGGAGGTTGTGGACGCGGCTGACGACGGCGACGAGGAGCCGGTGCTGGCGTGGCTCGACGGCGGCGGGCGGGTGAACGCGGCGTTCGAGTACGTCTTTTCGGACGGCCCTGAGAGCGGCGTGACGCTGCTGATGCTCGCGATGGAACATGGCCACGAGGGGCTGGCCGAGGCGCTGCTCCAGCGCGGTGCGGATCTCTCGTTGCAGACCAGCGTTGGCGCCACCGCGCTGATTCTCGCCGCCGCGAATGGCCGCGAGAAGCTGGTCGAGCTGGCATTGCGGCACGGCACGGCGCTCGACCTTCAGGCCAACACTGGCGGCACAGCACTGCTTTTTGCCGCCAGCAATGGCTACGAGAAAGCGGTCGACACGCTGATCAGGCACGGCGCGGCGATCGACCAGCAAACTACTCTCCGCAGCACCGCGCTGATGGCCGCCGCCGCTTGCGGCCACGAGAAAGTGGTCGACTCACTGATCCGGCACGGCGCGGCGATCGACCTTCAGTGCAACAACGGCGACACCGCACTGATTCGGGCCGCTTTCTTCGGCCACCCCGCCGCCCTCCTCTGCTTGCTGCGGGCGGGCGCGGATCCGAAGCTGTGCACTACGGATGGCTGGACAGCGCTGCAGCTTGCCAAGAAGCAGGGCCGCGCCGAGTGCGTGCGCGCCCTCGAGGAGCATGCGGCGGCGGAGAAGGCGGCGGAGAAGGCGGCGGCGGAGGCGGCGTGGGCCGCAGGAGCGGCGGAGAGGGCGGCGCAGAGGGCGGCGGAGGAGAAGGAGGCGGCGCGGCACGCCGAGGAGCTGCTGGCGGAGGTCGAGGCGGAGAAGCGCGCCAAGGGGAAGAAGGGCAAGAAGAAGAAGAAGGGCGGCAGGGCGGGCGGGGCGGGGCCGTCGCAGGAGCCCGAGGAGGGTGCCGAGGCGCCGTCGGAGGCAGACGCAGTCGAGGCGGCTAAGAAGGCCGAGGAGGCGAGGCTTCTCCAGCTTCTCGCGGCGCTCACCGAGGAGAGGATGCGGCTCGGCATCACGGCGGAGAGCCAGGCGGCGGCGTCGGCAGAGGTGGCCGAGGCGGCTCGCTTGGACGCTGAGGCGGACGAGGCGGAGGAGGAGGCGGAGGAGGAGGAAGAGGCCGAGGCGGCGGCTGAGGCGACGGAGGCTGTGGCCAAGGCTGCACGGGCGGAGGCCAGGGCGGCGCTGGAGGAGGCCACCACAGCGCTGGCGAGGAGGGAGACGGCGCTCGAGGAGGCGGCGGCCGCGACAGAGGCGAGGCGTGCTGCTGCGGCCGCTGCGAGGGCCAGGGCGACCGCCGCCAGGATGGCAGCGGAGGCGGCCCAGCGCTCATAGCGCGAGCTGCTCAGAAGAAGCGCGTGGCCACCACCCTGCGGACTCTCTCTGGGTGGAGCTTGGGAGCTTCCGTCGAGGACACGCTCGCCGGAGGGTCATCATGCACCGCTTAGATGTGTGGTTGTGTGCTGGGGTGTTGTGGGGCGAACTACGCGGCGCGGACCGCGGTGCGCCGGTGCCGCGGGAGGAAAGAGCCGGGCACTGTGAGCCGCGCCGCCCGCCCGCCGCGCGCGGGGCCGGCCGGGGGCGAGGGAACGTACCGCTTTTTCTTGGATAGGTGGGCATGAACTACTTACTATATTCACACCACCTATGCTGAAACAAACAAAGAACGAAGGTCAAAGTCAAAAAAAAGTGTGTGTGTATCGCGCGCGCCTTGCGGGGGGGGCGCGGAAAAGAGGAACCTCTTAGCGCCACCGCAAAGAAACATTAAACAAACCAGCTGAAGCTCTGCTCTACTTCGATGCGCCGACTTCCGGCCGCCCCGGCCTTTTGCACGGCCGGAAGCATGTCGAGGTACTGCTTGTGCGTCCTCATAACAGGCGCTGTCGCAGCGACTTTCGACCAGTGCGTCACCGACCGTGCGTCCGGCGTCACCACCTGCGAGCGGGCCGTTCACGATGCGCCTGGGTGCACGGAGATCTTCATCTGTGCCGTCGCAGCGCCAAAGCGATCAGTATGCGAGAGCAGCAGCTGCGCGAGTGTGTGCGTTTGGAGGCAAGACAGCGGCTGGTGGAGCCGCTCGGGTCCCGTCAGCGAGCCGCCGTGCTCCGCTAAGTGCCCCAACGCTACAGCCGCGGCTATTGCCGTCGCCGACAGCCGCGGCCATGCCCACTCCCATGAGGAAGGCGCAGCCGACGCCGCCGTCGCCGACAGCCATGACCATGCCCACTCCCATGAGGACGGCGGCTCCAGGAGGCTCGGCATCACCGAGCGCGCCAGGCAGTGGCCGGACCAGCTGGTCCGTTGGCACTTTGCGAAGCAGAGCGGGAGCCGCGGGTGGGCTCCCGGCTCGCTCTTCCGTGGTGTCGTCGAGGCGGCCATCGCGAGGATCGAGGAGAGCACGTGCATATGCTTCGTCGAGGTAGACCCGGACGAGACGGACGAGACACAGCCCACCTTTGTCGGCAGCAACGAGCCGCGGCTCGCAATCTACGGCTCGGGGTCGCAGGGGTCAACAAACTCCTGCTCAGGGTCTGCGACCGTCGGAGCCTACACGTCTGCGACGATGACGCTGAGCTCCGGCTGTCCAGCCTTCGAGGGTGTCGTCGTCCACGAGTTCTTGCACTCCCTCGGTTTTTTACACGAGCACTCTCGCCCCGACCGCGACGAGCACATCGAGGTGCGGCTTCAGAACGCACAGGTCGGCGCTCGCGGCAACTTCGAACGACTGGATGCGAACGACTGGTACAACATCCAGGGCGACCCAGACAGCAGCTGGGACTGGTTCTCGATCATGCTGTACTCGAGCTCCACCTTTGCCAGAGAACGTGGCTTGCCCACGATGGTCGTCCGGAACAACAACCAGGTGGTCTCGGACGGACGTGGCGGCTCAAAGGCTGCAAATTCCGGTGACACATTTGGGAG